GCAAAGATAAATGAATGTTCACCATAATTTGGGGTTCGAAAGTGTGGGAGGATCAGCTTTAGTTATTTGCATCAGTACACGAGTCGGGTTCATTGAATGATTAGGCGGATACATTTCAGCAAGTTCAATTAAAGTGATTCCTAAGTGTAAAGATATGAAGTAATGAAGGATTTATACCTAATGACCATATATCTGCTTTCGAACTGTAGTTGGAATCCTTGAAGTATTCGCAAGCTATAACTTCGGGTGCCATCCAATGAGGTGTACCAATGAAGCTGTCACGCCTAGCTTTCTCACTTGCTAATCTAGCAGACACTCCGAAGTCAGCTGACAAGGCTTCAGAAAGGGTTATGACATACCTATCTTTACCTCGTTAGCGAGAGTGAACAAGACATTTCCTGCCTTTAAGTCCCGATGAATAAACAAATTGGCATGTAAAAAAGCAAGACCTTGTAAAATCTCTTTACATAGAAACTTTATTTGGCGCTCTGAGAATCCTCTTTCCAATTTCTGCATAACAGCATCGGCAGCACCACCACCACAAAATTCCAGATACATCTTGTAAAAAATAATATTAAGACAATTAATACCCAAAGTTTTGATTCGTATATATATACTTCTTCCAGCTTTACTATATTTGGGTGCTTGCATTTCGTGAGTATATCGATTTCAATCATAAAATCATTCAACTCGTCAAGCGTAGAAAATTCAACGCGTTTTAGAGCAGATAAAAGATGAGTATTGTTGTTTTTAGTCTTAAATATTAATTTTGGAGAATTTATACCTTGTAAACTTTACCAAACGCCCCGTCGCCGAGTTCGCATAAATTCTCCCACACTATTTCTGGGTTTACATCACGAGTTATCGAATCCAGAGTGGATTTTTCCTTCCTATTTTCATCGTCAAACGCTTTAATTTTCTTAAATATGCCCTTGAGAAAGGACATCTGCAGAGATTCACGTCTAAAGATTATCGAGGATATGACTTGCAACTACCGCAGTTAGCTGACTCACAAAACGCGCCTCATCTAACAACCATTATTTCAGTCTAAATAGATTTATAAGCCTTTTTATTTTTATTTATCTATTTTA